GTAATTTTTCAAATATATAATGTTCAACCCTCAGGGTTATCATTGTAATGTATAGTGTTAATCGAGTCCTCAGAGTACATATATTTGTTATTTTAAATTTACTTATAATGTAAATATTTAGACATGACCTAAATAAAGACGGTTGCAGTCGTATTTGCCGCCTGAGTTATTATAAACCACACAGTCTGAATGCCGCCTGAGTTATTAAAAAACACCAGAGTCTGAATGCCGCCCGAGTAATTATAAACCACACAGTCTGAATGCTGCCTGAAATAAATGATCGCGAGAAATCAATACATTCAGTGCTGCTGCTAACAAATGCAGGCCTGTAGACAAAAGGGGGCCGGACTCGCGTGTCGGAAATGGTGAGTGCTTGCAGTGACTTGATAACTCAGTGTGTTTGTGTTGAACGCGGCGGTAGATGCCTTGTTGTGTGTAGACGTTTAGAATATGCAAGTGGTTAGCTTAAGACATTGTGCTGTGGTGTGAATTATTGAAATCGCGCCCGTGAACGTAGACGTTTGAAATGCATTAGTAATGGGGGTTTGAATGTTTTTCGTACCCTTATTGCTCCCTCATTCGCGTGAATTCAAAACTTAGAATGTACTTTAGACGGCAGAACAATGTCAAAGCTGCAGCAACACCTCAAAGAGGCGCGCTCGCCGCTCTTGTGTGAATTTTCAATGCAGAAGGAAACGTATGGTAAGGTGGCGGCAGCTTTAGACCATAATATGGATTAATAAATATAAGTCTAGCTGCGACAAGGTATTAGACACACATATGGATGGACGAACAGACAGTATGTTAATGTGGTGGTGGCTTTAGATCATAATAATACTGTGACAAGAAATGTAAGTCTAGCTGCGACAAGGTATTAGACACACATATGGATGGACGAACAGACAGTATGTTAATGTGGTGGTGGCTTTAGATCATAATACTGTGACAAGAAATGTAAGTCTAGCTGCGACAAGGTATTAGACACACATATGGATGGACGAACAGACAGTATGTTAATGTGGTGGTGGCTTTAGATCATAATAATACTGTGACAAGAAATGTAAGTCTAGCTGCGACAAAGTATTAGACACACATATGGATGGACGAACAGACAGTATGTTAATGTGGTGGTGGCTTTAGATCATAATAATACTGTGACAAGAAATGTAAGTCTAGCTGCGACAAAGTATTAGACACACATATGGATGGACGAACAGACAGTATGTTAATGTGGTGGTGGCTTTAGATCATAATAATACTGTGACAAGAAATGTAAGTCTAGCTGCGACAAGGTATTAGACAGATATATGGATGGGCGGACGGACCGACAGACAAGATAGACAGACAACGGGTATATAGATGTGTAGACAGACAGATAGATAAATAGATAGAAAAGTATATAAAAGGAAAACTAATTTTACATGGGTAGGCATGTCGGTAAGCAGTGGAGTAGACAAGTAAGCGGGTAGGTAAGTAGGTGAGTGAATAAACATGCCCTTTAGTAATACAAAAGCTATGCAGGTAAATGAGTTTAAATAAGTAAGCAGGTGGGTGGGTGAGTAAACAGAAAGGTCAGTTAGTGATATGGAACACAGGCAGTAGCTCCGTTTTTGGATACATAAGTAGGTACTGAGCCAGATAAGTAGGTGGGTGGGTGAGTAAATAGAAAGGTCAGTTAGTGATATGGAACACAGGCAGTAGATACGTTTTTAGATACATAAGTAGGTACTGAGCCAGATAAGTAGGTGGGTGGGTGAGTAAACAGAAAGGTCAGTTAGTGATATGGAACACAGGCAGTAGATACGTTTTTGGATACATAAGTAGGTACTGACCTAGATAAGTAGGTGGGTGGGTGAGTAAACAGAAAGGTCAGTTAGTGATATGGAACACAGGCAGTAGATACGTTTTTGGATACATAAGTAGGTACTGAGCCAGATAAGTAGGTGGGTGGGTGAGTCAATAGAAAGGTGAGTTAGTGATATGCAATACGGGCAGTAGATTAGTGTATAGATACATAAATAGGTACTGAGCCAGATAAGTAGGTGGGTGGGTGAGTCAATAGAAAGGTCAGTTAGTGATATGGAACACAGGCAGTAGATAAGTTTTTGGATACCTAAGTAGGTACTGACCTAGATAAGTAGGTGGGTGGGTGAGTAAATAGAAAGTAGGTGGGTGGGTGAGTAAACAGAAAGGTCAGTTAGTGATACGGAACACAGGCAGTAGATAAGTTTATAGAAACACAAGTAGGTACTGTAGCTAGATAAGTTGGTAAATAGGTATAAATATATATATATATAAAAAACAAGGCAGATCAGTTTTAATTACATACATAGATAGGAAGGTAGGATAATTTTCAAGTGTCCATGGAAACCTCCGGAGCTGTGAAAATCTCCTCCAAAGGCAGACAGACTTTGACATGCATTTAAAAGGATTTCCCCGTACATAAATAACCATCTAGACATCAAACTAGATGTGAACATGTAAATATGGTACGAACGAATGAACTTTATTTTCAAAGGGTCACAAATTGGGCACGCAGGCCCGTCTTACATTCGGCCCTTCCAGTCAACCATCTTTCACACAGCAATTGTATTTTACTAATAAAGCATGTTATGATCATATGCATATTTTGAATATTATAAAAGAACACAAAAGCATGAGTTGTAAAGTGCATGCAAAAACCCGCACGTGCATACATACACCCACATACACACACATACATGCATACATACACACATACAAATAAACATGCTTACACACATACACACACACAAACATACATACAAAGATAAAAACATACAGGCATACATACATACATTCATACATACATAATACAGGCATACACACATACAAACATACAGTCATAAATACAGTCATGCATGGAGACACACACATGCACACACAGACACTCCCACAGAGACACACACACTCAGACAAAAATACAGACACACACACACACAGACACTTACATATAAACACACACAGGGAAACACACAGCACACATATTTACATTCGTGCTCACACACTGACACACACACCACACATACACATACGCAGACAAACATGCAGACACATAGACACACACGCAGTCAAACACACACACAGACAAACAGGCAGACAAACCCATACTGAATGGCTAATATATTTTGTCAGCAGATTCTATAGCAGAGAGGAGGACACTACAGAGTTAGAGATGGTGACAACCAAGCTCGGCAACTGTGAGTATTTATTTAACAGTAGGTGACAGATAACACCCCTTATACCATTATCATTGCAGCTATCACCATAATCTTGTCATCAAAATAATTGTTACTATTAACATCAACATCTTCTTTTCAACATCACTATGATCACTATATCACCACCATCACCTTTTTATCAGCCCCAACATCATCATCATTTTCCTCTTCCTTAAAGTCATCATCGCCATTCTCCTCATGGTAACGATTAACACCATCCCATTTACCAATAGAGGTAGGTATCTTCTCCTCTAGCTCAGCCTACTCTTCTTCATTATCATAATCATCATCATAATATTCATTATCCTTCATATTGTTGAAGATGTCCCTAGATGTCCAGGATCCATGTTGTATTTGGCGATTAAGTAGTTGGGCCCTAGAGGCCCCTAACCATCTACAGACATTCTCTTTTGAAGTATTTTTTTTTACACATTTCAAATTTAAAATACAGTATATTTATTTGTCATCCAACACATAATAATTATTACTGCACACTTAAAGAAGGCTCAAGACAAATTATCTCTGCTGCCCAAAAAAATTATAAGCGGGCTGAGTGCCCCCCCCCCCCCCCAACAAAGAATTTCTTGGTGGCGGCAAGCCTGCAACATACTTCAGCTATAAATCCCACCCTCCTTACTGGATGGTGAAGCTGTAATGGAAGTAGGTTAAAAGGGGTATCTGGGATCTGCCCTTGTTGGGCTGTCATCCAGATTGCTGAGATTTGGTTAATGTCAGGATGGTGTGGCAAACCTTTAGGTAGCAGCCCAAACTTGATTCTTCACAGCAGTGTCATTGTTGTTTGTAGGAGGCAGGTGTGAATCCGAGACTACCTATTGTTTCAAAATGTTGTATGCCAAGCAGAAGTAGTACATGTAAGTAAAGTATTCTTGTCCATGCCGTTAGGTGTATTGTATATTTATATAGGGCTAAATATATATTTTTATAGACCAATCGGCACTCAGTGGTCAGCATCATACCAGTCGCCTTTACTTCCTAGGACTATACCTGGTACCCACTCAAGGCAGGGTTGACGTGGGAGCCAAGGCCATTTCTGAAAAAAAATCTGGCCCGCAGTTAAGCATCTAGCCGCTACACCACATCAGCTTCCAAGTAGTACATGTAATAATATTATCACAAATTTTCTGTTCAAACCATCAGGGTTAAAACTAAGAAATATAGTTTCTTTTTTCTACTTTAGTAATTAATATTTATACCTATCAATAATATTTTGGTTATTTAATTTTGCATAACTTATGTATTAATTGTAACTGATTGTAGGAGTTTGGATTGTCAGGTTAATTTTAAACATACTTTTTAATTTTGATAACCACAGTGTATAATTTATTTTTATGAATATCTAAAGTGATCTATGATACCATTATTGTTCGATGACTTTTAATCGCCATCCTCTTGTGGGATGCAATTTTTAGTTTTTTTTAAGCCCAACCCTGGCTTTTGCCGGGGGCCCTAAAAATAGCTGATCATTAAATATGGCCTAATGGCTGAATGGGGTTTCTAGAATCTCTCCACGGATGATCCTCATCCGCATGGTGGCACTTTGTGTCACTGGGTGATTATTGCTTGTGTGATGTCCTGGTGGTGTACAACTTACCTACCATTATTGTCTTAAAATATATTAAAACTTCATATGCTTACTGTTTGACCCTTTTCTGTAGTTCCCTAATCCCAGCATAAGGGGAGTCCTATGTAGTTCATATTTCTTGCAATGTAGCAAATAATATTCATTTATTTCTGTAGGTCATGCCTGAATGCAGACGAGATCAAACCAGATTTATCGTGTTTCTGGCGGTGATGATGACAGTGGAGACTGCTGTGATTTTTGCAATCATGCATTGGGAACACAAAAATGCTGAACACCAGGCACAGGAGAGGCTGTCCAGGCAGCGGGCAGAACATGCAACACCACATCTGCTGCACAGGGACGAGAAACCAAGCTACAACCAGCAAAGAATATCTGACAAACGAAGAAATAAGCAAACATGGAAGCATAAAAACAAATACAAATCAACAGACTCCCATACTGGATTACTGAAAAACAAAACTGTTAAAACTTAACCGTTTCACCCTGAAAACTCTTTTAAAAAATAGGTCATGACCCCGTTAGGATTCCTGAATTTTTTTTTTGCAAACAAGTTTTTACACAGGTCAATAATAAATTTGTTAAAAATGTATTTATCAACATTTTAAAATTATTCTTTCAAAATATGTAAAGAGGAATCAATAAACACATATGGTGCATAGCATCATAGCAATTGAATACATCCTCTGGGACCAAACAAAACAAACAACATATTGGGTGACTCATACCGTGACCGTAGCCAATTACATTAACTATACATCTCGTAAAAGGTCAAGATAGGCAAGTATAAAAAAGTGATATTTATGTGGAATTTGACCCAAACGGAAGAGTCTTTTTCAGATTCATGTGATGAAAGGGTTAAGGGTTAAATGGGAATTATTCTATGAACATTCCAAGATATTCCGAGACAAAACAACGAAACAGTACAGACTTGAGGGGTGATTAACTTATGCATGTGTTCTGACGGACTTAGATAAAACATAACAATTCATTTATTGAGACTCAGTCAAAGGTGCTAGATGAGTGTATTCTTCCATTCTTTTTTATATTCTTCAATGTTTACATTTTTTTCACAAGGAACAGCGAGGCACAGGAACAGAGCAACTATGGGGTGACACATTTGACATAAAGTTGTAATAAGAACTTCACAGCAGGAGCATGTACAGCAAGAGGTTACCGATCATCAGTAGGTGGGTCCCTCGTCAACAATTGTTTCAGCCCATTATCCTACTAGACAATGTCAAATGGTGGCTTTGCAACTAGGTATTGAGATTTGGTGTTGTTGCTCAAGCGGCCAGTGAATCAATCAGTCATAAAACCTGTGTTTTCACTCATGTTTATTTATATTTATTTCATCCACAAACTTGATTTTCACAAGTGGTTACAGTTTTTCTTCACCGCTGCTGTATCAAAATCATTATTTAAGATTTTAAAGCTGTGATTTCTAGGCCTCCCCATAGCCCAGTATAACACTGTCATCTAAAAAAAAAATGGAAAAGTGAAAAAATTTGTTTGGCACATGCAGGAAGCAATGGCAAATAAGTAGCTATCAGAAGACACAATAGACCGCAGGAACATCAAAAAGACCACAAGGCCAGATGTTCCAACCTGGTGCCACATAGTTTACAATTTTGTTGTTTTTTCTGTGACCTCTAATATTTACTTCCTTCCATTTGTTTTTATGGATGCCAATCATTACCCATTATTTATTAAAATGTTTCTCTTCTTCAGGTGCAGGGCCTAGAGCAGACTGGTAATCATCCTTTCTAATTTGCTCTGTGATCTTAATTTGTTTTAGTTCTCTACATGCTGTTCCCCACTTCTAATACTGTGTTTTGTTTCTATTTAACGTCTTTTATCTATGCTTAAACTTTGCAAAAGCATAGGGGGCTAATTATGACTGAGGAGATATTGGTATTTGACATTACCAGATCCAGCATGAGAATGGAGGCTGAGGCAGAGTCACTTTAATAGTTTGTCCATACAATGCAGGCATGTTTGAGAATAAGCATGCAGATAGGTTGGCTGGTCTGGCCCCACTAGAGGGTGTACTGCAACTGTACAAGAAAAGGTAATCTCCCACCCCTGGGACAAAGTAACATGTAAAATGGAAGATACTGAAAACCTGAAAGTGGAGAAAATGAAGTAGCGGGGAGTGTCTGCAGGTTCTCAGTGCCACTCAAAACTCGAGGGAAGGCAAGATAGTTAACCAAATGCCAACAGGTACCATCAGTATGGAGACTCTTCGCTGGCTGTTAAGGAGGCAGATGGATCCAATTTAGGCTTGTCCAGAATGCTCTTTCTGATGTTGAATCTTTACTCAGGTCAGTAAAGGACAGTTAGGCCTTGAACTTGAGGATTTAGGGCATCGTGGCTTGTGCAGTCACTGCAAACTGTGCAGGCTGTAATTTGTTTTTTATTTCTGCTCCTGACAGAAAACAAATTTCTGAGGATTTGAGTCTGGGTCTCTCACATGAGAGTTCTGCATTATAACTGCTTCACCAGCCACCCTTTCTTTAATTAAACACTCCAAAATAAAAACGAAAAATAACTGTTCACTCTTTATAACCTAGCCAAGCCTAAGCTGTTAATACTTTAGCTTTTGTTTAATGTCTATCCACAATATTCCCACCGTTCTTCAAATCAATGTGACTAATTTTGTACTTTTGTTCATTTCATGTTCATTTGTTAGATATAACTTAGTATACAGTACTGTTTTGAGACATATGAACTTCCAGATGTGATATTTTAATTTTTTTTCTTTCACGTAAACCTGTGTCTGTACCTTATTTGTAAAGGATCTGCAGTAAAGCCAACATGAGGCATAAACAGTGTACAGATTTCAATATTATTAATGAAGGATTTGTCAAATTTGTTAGTCTGGAATTTGGTCCATTTGTAAAATGTGTTAATTTGTGGGGAACGTTTATAATTTCTTGATCTAAAAGAACTGCTCCAGCTATGCATCACCGACAGTCATGCAAGAAACTAAACCAAACTAAGGGAGACAGAGATTAAGACCAGATATCAAGAGCTTATTGTGAAAGCAGTGGGAGCCAAAGAAGAAACATCAGAGGACATTGAAACCCTCTGATGCTAGTTCAAAAACATTCCACTGCAGCTGCAGGAGAATTATGTGGCCAATCAAGAAGTGGAAGGAAAGGGACACAAGGCATTCTTGTAGACTGAAGAGGTTAAACTGAAAAAAGGAAAAAAGAAAAAGGCATTGGAGGTAATACCTGGCAGCCAGGAAACTCAAAATGTTCTGCAAGACCTTTAAGAACATGAGGAAGGAAAAGAGTGCCCGCTGAAAATTTTAAAAGACAAGGAAAGGACTTTGCTTACTACTACAAATGATATTATGAGCAGATGGAAAGAATACTTTTCAGAGCTCCTTGGGGTTGAGGAAAGTCATATCCCTGAAATAATGGATCTTACAATAGAGAGGGAAAACAATGAAGGAGATGAGAACATAAGGATGGAGGAATTAAAGGCAGCTATTGAGAAGATTAAGCTGGGAAAGCCAGCAGAACATGACTGTATAATGCCAGAGATGGTCAGATACATGAGAGTCGAATGGGAGCGAGGACTTCTGAAAGCTGTCCAGACAGCTTGGTGAAGTAAGACTACTAAAAGGCAATTTGATTCCATCATTATATAGTGTAAACACCACAGAGGCATATACCTCCTCGGCATTCCTGGAAACAGTTTCTCTAGAATTTTCAAGCAGAGATTCAAATGTTTAGCAGAGCCACAGCTGGATCTGGCTCGATGTGATTTCAGAGCAAACTGAAGTACTCAAGAAAAAGCCCTAGAATATAAGAGTGAGATGCACTTATGTTTCGTGGATATAGAAAAGGCATTCAACAAGGTTCTCTAGGACAAACTCTAAGACTGCTTAGCAGGGAAGATCAGTGCAATGCAGATTTTCTAAAAAACTGCAGAAATTATGTAAGAACATGAAACTGAAAGTCAGAAGAATTTAAAACCACTATATAGAAAGATACCCTCTCACCCTACCTGTTCATTATTCTGATGGATGATGTCATCAAGACCTGTAAGAAGGAGACAATGAAGTACTCAGCAGGGTACTGGAATATGAGACCAGTGTATAAATCACAGCTGGCATTTGCAGATGACATAACCCTGATAGCTAAATGAGAGGCACATCTTCGATCCAACTTACTTGTCTCGAAGGAAGAGCTTGAGAAGAGAAGGATGACCAACAGTGTCTCAAAAACTAAAACCATGGTGTTTTCAAGAGAGAAGAAACACCAGATCATGATGGGACAAGAGGCACTGGAGCAGGTCAGCCAGTTCAAATATCCTGGAGTCGCAACAGACCAGAATAGAGGCATCAAGTCAGAGTTGGCTGCTTCAAATGCAGAAGCTGGGAGACTTATCCAAACCATAAGTCAGGGGTTTCTCAGCAAAAGAGAAATTAACAAGGGTACAAAAATTACTTTACCGCTCTACCTATGGGCCAGTCCTGACCTATGGCGGGAGTCATGGGCAATGACAGCAGCTCATAGAAGCCAGTTTCAGACCTCAGAAATAAGGTATCTGAGAAAAATGGTCCAAATGTCACTAAGGGACAAAATTCACAATCAGACAATACACCATGACCTTGAAACCAGGCCTTCCAAACTCAAGGGGATCAGTTAAAGTTACAATGGTTTGGACATGAATGCAAAATGGGAGAAAATTAGCCATCACAGTAGGCATAGGGGGCCAAGAACCAGACCACCAGGATGACCAAGGGTTCGCTGGGAAAACAACATCTGACAGTCCCTGACTGACAGAAGACTCAAATGGAGCAAAGCCAAAAAGAAAACCGCTGATAGAGAAATTTGCTGACCTCTCTTGCAAACGTCTACATCCCAAGTCCCCAATAACCCAAAGAACAGAGCATATCCATTGTAAATACATGTTTATTTACATTTCACACATTTTCCCTTTAATCATGGCACACTTTGAATACAGACTGCAAAACACACATATAACAAAGGCATAACAAAACATTTAGAAAGGGACAAATAAAAAGGACATATCAATATGGGGATCATTAAAAAAAACAAAAAAACAAAGGTCACAAGCGAAGAAGACAACTACCTGAAATGTGCTGTCTCAATAAGGTCACTAACGACACACACAAAAACAGGGTTACGAATACCAGCATTAGACAGAAAGCTGGAATAAGACCAAGTCTGAATTATACAGACACAGAATAAATTCAGTGATATAGCAAGAATGCAGACAGACCCAATCACATATGAGATTTTCTTTAGCAGAACATATGGAAAGAAGGCAAGGGGAAGATTAAGAGGAAGATGGATAAATGGTATTGCTGAAAAAAAATATGAACAAATCCATCACCCAAGCCATCCAAAAAAGCTCAAGACAAATATAGAAAACCACGACAATGGGCTTTGCCCTGGTATTAGTGAGATGACAAATAAAAGAAGAAGAACGATGAAGCCACTTCTGTCAAGCCATTCCAGAAGGAATGATAAATGACAGCTGTTCACCAGTGATGCCCCATGATGCCCTGTTGACCTGAAATACGACCACCCACGTGACGATAAGGGCCATCCACACTAGTGTACCAACAATTGACCAGATCACATCTGAAAATACAGGAAAAAAAGTAAATAATTCACAGGTAAACAACAAATGAATAATCTCCTTCTCTGGTTTTCAATTTCTTATTTTCCTGCAGTTACCTCAACAATGTGAGTGTGTGTGTGTGTGTGTGTGTGTGTGTGTGTGTGGGGGGGGGGGTAGGGCTCCTTTTAATGTGCTGTAAGAAAGTAAAAGACCCTCTTTCATAATTTAAGATGCATTGGGCATATGCTGCGAGACCTATATTTTATAGACCAATCAGCACTCTGTTGGTGATGTAGTCAACATCGTGCTGACCGCCTTTACTCCCCTAGACTTTACCATTTAAGGCCAGGTCAACCTGGAAGCCAAGTCATTTTTTTTAAAATGCCTGGTCCGGTTAAGATTTGAATCCACCACATTTGGACTCATAGGCGAGCATCTAGCCACAACACCATGGCAACTCCCCCTAATGTAAAAGTTTATATTGATTTCTTTAAGGTTGTTCTTGATGCCAAGGCTGTTCTCGGTGCATCATTTTATCGTCTGCACAGTCTTCCTTTTCCTCTGTGTATATTATATTTCAAAGCATCCTCTGTTTCAGATGGCATCAGGGCATTGTCATCAGATAGTCAAACTATTTCATCCGTTGTTCTCTATCAAACTTTATGTCTGATTTCAGTCCAAGGCTACTTCTAATTTCTTTTTTTTTAAATTATGTCTTTTCTTGTTATTTCAGCAGTTTTTCTAAGACACCTCACCTTCTGCTGTTATGTTTGTACACTCACTAACTGTAGTAAGGGTCCATGTTTGACATTGGCAGAAAAAGCTGGTCAAAAACAGTTCTTATCAGATTTTTGTTTGCAGACAAAGGTATCCTTTCCTTCTATGTGTCAAAAGTGATGCTAGTTGTAACAGAACTTGATTTGCTTTTGCACATCGTGTGTTCATTTCTCCATCCAGCTTTCCTTCAGATGTAAAAATTAGTCCTAGATATTACATTTCACTTGTTTGCTTTATCTCTGTGTTATTTATATACTTTTACTAAAATGGATTCTGGTTGGATTCTATGCTTTAGACAATCATGAATATTTTTATAATTAGAGCCAACTCACGTTAGAGTGGTACACTGGAATAGAATCATGAGTTTCCAGCTCTTGGTTTAATCAAGGAATTATGATAATCACAAAAGCAAGGTTAAAAAAAACCCCAACATTTGAGGAAACGTTTTGGCTGGAAAAAACCCAACAGTCGTGCGCCTGTGGAAAAAAAACCTATATTTTGAGCATGTTTAGGCTATGTCCATCTCAGTGATCATCACCGTATACATACTGAATAAGACTGGCGATAGCGGTGATCCCTGTGGCAAGCCTGGACATATTGTTTGCGGTTCTGAGGACCAGCTACTACATCTGAGTACTATCTTTATCTGGAACAGGACCGCAGCAATTCAGCAGATTTTTAGGCCATCTCTATTTTTGTCTCCAGTTTGCTCTATAATGTCAAATTACACATCTAGATTACCTGATTTACATCGAGAGTGTCTATCCATGTGTAAACTAATTGTTTGAGAGTCAAGGTGAAGTGGTAGGACACTAAACATTCTTAGGGAAATTTCTTAGTAAAATCTGTTTTTTCCCTCATTTGTCCATAATTTTTTCTGCTACCAGTCTGCTCCAAAATGCTCAACTACTAACCCAGAGAATCTGTTAAAGTTTACTCCGAATGTCTCTTCTAATACTCAAGGAAAAACAGAATGGTGAAAACGGAACAAACTAAGCTTACCTGTACTTGCTGTGGACATATTAAATTAAATATCACAGCCAACCATATACTCACATGAACGTATTGTTTTCTGTTCTGGGTATGGAGGCTTCCAGAATGCTTCACTGAAAAACCAAAGGCTGTTGACAAACCATAAGAATGGGAGGATGAAGAATCCAGCTGAAATAAACATGTTTACAATTTATGCACATGATCATTAGAGAAAACTTTACATTTATAACCGATCACACAGGATATTTAAAATTCTATCACCAAAAAATAACAGGTGCCTGCCAGCAGCACAACTCTATAGTACTGCAGTACTGAAAAGAGACTTATTAATATGAAGAAAATAACACACTGAAGCTTTACAATTCAAATAAATAATCATACAGCATATATGATACTTTGCAACTTACAAAACTGTGAAGCAGACATGACTTACCCAAAAAGTACTTTTTACACAGTACCAACTTTTCTTCATTCTTGACTCTGCGGAGATCCATGTTTTGTGCGCACTTTCCAAATGATCAACTATAACTTGATTCTGGAGGACAATTATGAAACAAAAGCCATAATTATTATTGCTTGCTCTGATAGTGTGCCATTGTTTACCCTTATTTCACCTTTGATACAGAAAGACAACCTTTGCATTGTCAGAAATTACAGCTCTATCTGAGGAAGAAGGCACAAATTTGACTCCCTGTTTCCTTCCTCGTGGCAAACATAGATAAGTCCGAAGCGGATGACAATATTAGAGACAGGTAAAGTTGCTTATCTCAACAAACGAATAAAAACCTTCATTCCGATTTCATTCACCAATATCAACATGTGCCATCTCCACTTTGAAGACAGGCTTAAGGAGTCTGCCAGCTTAGTGTTCTGTGTCATTATGGGCACTTTTATGTCTCCACCACATATAACATTGTCATTCATTCGCCACCTATGCCTCCAGGGTCCTAAAAAATCACCCTGACTGTCTAACTTAGAACTTATTTACTGCTTTAAAAAAAAAAGTGCCTTTGTAACACTTCTTGTTTGCTGTCTTCTCATATTTGTTTATAGAGCCATATTATGAAAGCTTAATTTCTGATCTAACATTTAAATCCTTCTTTACTCAAACAGATGATCCTCATTGCACATTAAACCATACTACTCTTATTCTTTGCTTCCTCTATTACTGCTTTAGCTGTTGATGGAAATGTAAAGATTTGTGACAGTTATGATCCGCTCAAAATTGGTGGTAACCCTATTCCGGAACTCCGCTACGCAGATGACACAGTCCTCCTTTCGAACTGCGAAAAAGGGAATAGAAAATTTAATATTGTCCGTCCAAAAGCACAGTGAAGATCAAAATCTGTTCTTGAATTTAAAGAAAACGAAAATAATGTCCACAGATAAAACTGGCTGTCACCCAAAAATAACAATAAATGATGAAGAAATTGTCACAAACTTTGAATATCTAGGCTCTATAATAAACAACAATGGAGACTGTTCGACAGAAATTAAAAGGAGGATGGCCATAGCAATGCAAAGATTGAACAGCCTTAAAAGTCTATGGTTAAGCACCAGCAAGGAGATAAAAATTAGAATTTTGAGAGCATGCATCTTTCCTGTAGCTACATACGGATGTGAGTCGTGGACTATCTCTCAGTCCTTAAGAAAGAGAATGGGGGCTTTTGAGCTGAAATGCTATAGAAAGATTCTCAGAATATCTTGGACAAAGAAGATGAGAAATATTAACATCTTAAATGATCTGAACATCAAGGAAGATTGGCTAATAAACAGCATCCTTTCTTGAAAGCTGAAATATTTTGGTCATATTAAGCGCCACGACGGATTGGAAAAAAATTATAGCAGAAGGCATGGTACCAGGAAGGAGGGGCAGAGGCCGACCGACATGAAGATGGGTACAAGATATAAGTGACTCCTTGAGTGTGAAAGTTCATGAGGCAGGAGAACTGGCAAGAGACCGAGTTTCTTACAGGCAGACTGTGATGAGAGCGACGTTCTGCAAAGGACCTGCTACATGATGATGATGAAGTGATGGTGATTTTACAATGGTGGATGAATATTTGATTTTTAGCTTGGAAACACTGATCAAACCAAATACTGACTTAACCACTACCCCGTAAAACAGTGGTTGGAGATGTATTGCAAAAGAGAATGGACATAGTTTGAAAACTGACAGCCTCATTCATACAATCACAATATCCATAGTTGGAAAACTGACAGCCTCATTCATACAATCACAATATCCATAGTTGGAAAACTGACAGCCTCATTCATACAATCACAATATCCAGTATAAGAATGGAAATGGAGGCAGTAACAGCAGCTTTCTTAAGATTTCAGAGCAGCACAGTCCAACATGTAACTGCAACAGCCTCTCAGAGCATGCTCCAGAAAATAGAAACTGGTGTCCTATGTGTAGTGGTCTGCATTGCTTGATAAGACTGAGATTAGGAACATATCATAGATTTTCTGTCCAGGACATTTGGGTGACCGGGGTAATGAGCAGGCTACTGGTCATTCCTCTGGACAGCAGAGGAGTGACCTACTTTACGATAAATTGGATGCAGTGAAGGCTGTCTTGGATCAAGAGGACAGTGCAACAGAACAGACAGAGTATCCACACCTTGAAAGACTAACACTAATTTAGCAGGGTGGGGGGGGGGGGGGGAATTTTCCAGCTGAGGTTCTGGAAGACATTCCTCATTGAAAGGAGACTGCAGATGAACTTTCAATCAGGTTGCAACTGCTTTCATTAGCATGTCAACTTTTCTTTGGCTACTGATGAAGGAGATGGAGCATGTGTGGGAACATCTAGAATGCTGTGTTGTCAGTTTTTGATTCATTTATTCATTGCCTCCTTCATCCAGAACTTCCATCTAATGTTTACTTCCTATCATCCTGTTTGATGTATTCAGTACAATCACTGACTATATTATTTCTCTCTCCCCTCCCCTCTCCCCCTCAGTTCTTACCTGACCACTCCTCCCACTCAAAAAGCCGATCCTGGATGGCAACTCAAAACAAAATTTAAAGACACCTTGTTCAAGCTCCTAAGAAATTATGGTGGCTGTTAAAGCGAGAAACAAAACTACCTTGGCAAACCTTTTTGTCTGAAGTGGAAAGGGGTTGATAATTTAGCCCCCGGTTTTCTTGTGATACAGTCCTATAAATGCTGATATAACAGCCAGTCAGCTGTGATCTGTTCTTGAAAATCGTAGGTAAATACCATTGCTTCTATGTGTTCATGTGCAGCATTTAACACGCCAAGATATAAATATAGTGATTAAAAATAGCATTCAGAGGCTGGCTTTCCCTTGTGACCTCAATAATTTGCTTAAAGCCAAACTGATGTCAAATTTTCCAGTGAGCCTCAGTGATAAATAAGAGTGGTCATACTACTCATAGCAAAAGTAAGTCACCTGATAAATTTAGATTTGTAGACCCTGGAGAATGTATTTTATTGAAACTTTCAAACTGTTCTTGTTTACTGATTTTACCTTTCTTTATATATTTTGAGGAAAAAAGTAAAGAAATAAATAATATATTAAATAATAATTTTAAAAAATGTGTGAGTGTGATTTGTGTAAAATAAAATTGTTTCAATGATTTGTATGGGCATTCCCAAGGGTTTTATTAGTTTTAAGCATTCGTCAGGCGAAAGTGCTAATTAGTTTTTGTGATTAATATTAATATTGTATATAATTATAAATATAGACTTTACTAATTTAATTAAATAATTAGTTAGTCTTTCCTCTTGTGTCGAGTGCGGCACATAGGGCAGAGGTCGTGACTCTCCATGCACGGCGGTCCGTTGCAATCCGTTGTAGGTCTTGGATGTTTGAGTGGCCCATGAGCGAGCCTTCCCTGATGATAGTTCTACGTAGGGTTTCCCTTGGTCTTCCACGAGATCTTTTCCCCTGTGGTGTCCACATGAGGGCTTGGTAAGGAAGTCTTTGATTTATCCATTCTAAGGGCGTGGCCGACATAGTTCCAGCGGCGTTTTCGTATAAAATTAGACACATACTCTTGCCTGGATTCTTGCCTTATTTGTGTATTGGTTCGGAAATCTGACCATTTGAAATTTAGTATTCTTCTAAGGCATTTATTTTCAAAACTGTCTAATTTTGTGTCTAGAGTTTTCGTTGATTTCCAGCTCTCGCATCCATAGGTTAGTACTGGAATCACACAAGAATTGAAGATCTTGAGTTTTTTTGTGTGTTTGCTAAGTGTCTTTGATTTCCAGATGGTAGACAGTTTATTGAAGGCACTAGATGCCAGTGCTATTCTAAATGATATTTCTGGTGCGGTATCTCCTGTAGATGACATCTTGCTCCCTAGATAAGTGAAACTGTTGACTTTTTCAAGGCTGTTGTTGTTCAGCGTGATATCAACTGAACTGTTGGTAAGGTCTAGAATTTTTGTTTTTGCGGTGTTAATTTAGAGTCCAATTTGTTCTGAGAAATTCTGGAGTCGATTGATTTTTTTCTTGGGCGTCTGTGTGTTCTGAACTCAGGAGTGCTATGTCGTCGGCGAAGTCTAGGTCTTCCAGAATTTTGTCAACCCATGTAATGCCTAAATTAAATAATTACGAATAGTGAAATAGTCATTCATAGTTCATAGTCGTTACTGAACTTATTACTAATGACAATGTTAAATGTGTTTATTTATAGTTTACGTTGTGGCCTAGCAGTTGTCTGGACTGGCTTTTACAGTTAAACGTATGATACGTACACTAACAAAACAGAAAAATATACTATCTAACCTCACATAAATCAACAGTTTGGTTGACCCAGTAGCGGAAACAAGGAACTTCTAATGATCTAATCAACGTCCTGTAGCCCTGCCTTAGTCTTTTGTTGTTCTCTGTAGCTCTTTTGTGATGAAGTTTAATGTAGCTTCCTGTGAAAAACTCTTCTGTAAGAGGGGAAGATCATGGCTAGGTTGGGCAGAAGCTGTGTTGCCACTTTGGATGTTTTACATCCAGATTTAGATGTTTCCCTCGCATTTAGATGCGTTTTTGACGTTCAGATGGTAGATGGTTTTCTAGATGTTTTTCATTTGGAGTGAATTGATCAAATCTAACCTAAGAAACAGGATGAAATTTTACCTCTTAAATGCTGTCTTGACAATAAAATTCGGCCTGATAAGAGTAGGAAAAAAACTATTCTACTTATCAGCTCCCTGATTGGGTATTAAAATAAATTGGAACAGCTAAAGACTACCAGAGTCATTTTGGATCTGAAGCTTCATCTTCATCATCCAAGCTAAGTTTATCCTGTGGATCTTGTAAGGCAGACTTCAGTAAAGATAAGGACATGATTCTATAGGGTAAGTCATATTAATTGCTATGTAATTTGTGACTCTTTCCATTTGGATGTTTTTTATAGATGTTTTCCACGCAAATTTATATGTTTTTAGGTATTATTTGACTCCATTTTGGATGTTTTTTGTCAAAGAAAAGTGGCAACACTGGCCAGAAGATATTATGCAAATATGCAGCCTAACCGACATCACCCCTGGTGCAGAGTGGATACCTGTGCGTCATGCGTTTATTTGTACATTTTCCTGTATTGCCACACTCAACAGGCGATGTAGAGAAGATAATCTTGTTGCTGTTAATGCAAAGGTCAACGCTCTCATCAGTGAAAATTCAGACGAAGCAGATGCACTAATCTACACAGACGGATCCGTTATACGCCAAAAAAGAAGCGCATGAGCATTCACAGCACGCTCAGCGGGCAAAACAGTCAAAGAAGCCAACGGCGCCTTCTCCATGACAACCAGCAGCATGACAATGGAAGTGATGGCAGTGACGCAAGCGTTTGCCTGGCTCGAAACACAAAAATACACCCGCGTATGTATACTCATTGAAATGAGTATGATCCAGAGGGTTCAGGCAGGTTCGGTGCGAAGACAATGTCTTTGAATCATTACATAAGTCCACTGTGCGTGGAGTCACCTTTATTTTTGTTCCGGGAGACGCAGGCGTCGATGGAAATGAAAGAGCTGACAGGTTGGCTGGATCAGCTATCACTACCTACGGTCAGCCTATGGATCATGCTGATATTATTAATGCCTTAGAGAAATGGGAAGGATAGAGGACGTTAGGGGCAGTGAATTCACATCACTCGCCATAATGGCAGACTTGGGAATTAAGATTGGCATAGCAAAAAACGAGACGCACGCCAGAAGACTTGGTAATCAACGTAGAACTGGTACTATTAGCCATCGGACGTTGGGATTCATACTGAGGGGAGGATCTGAGCACCTATGGACATGTCCGGAGTGCAATGATGATAACCCAACGAACTAACTCTTCTGTGTTAAAACTAATTATCATCAGATGGGCGAACGCTCGCCGGTAGACGACAGTACTTGGATTTGTCTCCTTTGATCGCATCAACACTGCAGTGATCCTTTTCAGGGCTGTTGGTGGCCAGCAGTGCTAAACCAATTTTGAATGGCGCACATAACATAGTCACAGTTATAACCCAAAGCTCCCCCTTTGAGGATGCTGGTTAAAAGACACGATTTTTTTCTAAGTAAATCAACGGAGCGAAAAAATTATTTGTAGCTCTCTGTTTCTTTTTTTTTTCTTCTTTCGTTTACTTGAAATAGATTATCTGTAACTGCAATGTTATCTCTAGTATTAACTTCACTTGTCTTTTTTTTTTTTAAATTTTCTCAGCAGAAGTTTAGCTCGTCTATCTTCATCACCATGATTATCATCATCGGCATCACCGTTATCGTTACCACCGTCACCATAGTCCTTATCATCCTGTTGTTGCTTTTAAACATCACACAGGTTGATGTCTATTCCTTCATTCCTTCCTATCCTGTGCAATCCTTTCTCTGTCGTATCTGGAATCCATCTCAGCACCTTTTAGTCAATCAGGTGCCGTATGTACAATGAGGCTGCAATTGTACCTCCAACCCCCATGTCTCCTATCTTGGCTATACACTCTCTAAGAATGCTCCTAATTTATTTTTAAATGGGAACAAGCAACGGAATCAGTAAAGAAACGAGATTATTATGGCCTGGAGAGAATGAAGCATCTGGGTGTGACTATAGAGTCTGGTCGGCTCACTACACTCAGAGGAAAGGCAAGACCGACATATAACCAAATTGTGACCGGTTCCATGAGTATTGTAACTTCGCACTGGCTGTTGAAGATAAGGACGGAGCACGCATTGGAATGCCCCGAGGGCTGTGATGTCAATTCTTGACTCAACGCACGCACACACATGAACGCACGCGCGCGCACACACACACAGACACAAAACACCCCTCCCCCTTTCAATGGGGACTGAAAGAGTGGTTGCCCACTTCCAGGATGAAACGGTGACGCCTTTTCCGGCGTCAACTGTTTACATTGACGACAAGATGGCGGTAAGGGTACTGGATTTACGAAAGCAGCGGGAACGAGCAACATTTACAGGTACAACAAAAGACGAGGTCAGGTATGCTGAAGCTTTTTGGCAGTCTGTCAGACTGCAACCGACCATGGAGTCGCGTTTGGTGTCTTCAGATATTAAGCAAAGATTAGGGAAAAGGGCTGCCTCCTCTAAGTCCGGTAAGTAAGACTACTAAAAGAATGAGCAGGTAGTGAACAATTTTATTGTAAAAACTAGTCAGGTTTTTTTTCATCGTTCATTTTCATTTCAACACTGATGAAATATTGATTGTGTTTAGTTTATTATCAATAAATTTTTACCTAGCCACCACCACCACGTAAGACAGTAGAGGCCGACGTGATGGGTGGGCAGGTAGATTTGCCGGTCCAACAATCGATAAATAATTAAATATAAATAATTAATATATGAAAATAACGACAGAAATAACCCAGTAAGCGTTGCAGTAGTGAAAGTGACACTAATTAAGTATAATTAAACTCTACTGTATAGTATAAGAAAGTTAATAACTTTTTGCGTTGTTTCTATTTGTGTATATATTTCTGAACAAGACAGTGAGGTGACATAGTGACATATTACTTATTTAAGAATTGACATCGTAGCACAGGGCAAACCCGTAGATGCTCTGTCTCCTGCGGCAAATGTCTTGAGGTGTAGATGCTAACTGTTTATGTAGCATACTAATTATACAGACGTCTTTCTCTTCCTCTCATATCCCTACTTGCCAGATCCACTCCTAATTCCTCGTTCACACATTCTTACACATCTCGTGTCTTCTGTCAACATTCGTTCATATATGGTCTTATAATGTCTTCAGAGTATCTACCTTGTCCAGTGGAAGTGTTCCCATAGCTCTATAACTTTTGTAGCTATAGCTTGTGCAGCCAGAAAATCCACTGTTTCATTCCCTCATACTCCTGCATCCCATACACTATATCCACTTGATTCCCTGCAGTATTGGCGTACTGATGCTTGGTATCTATTCATGCCACATTAATCCAATTTGAGCCCTCTGCGGTATCAATTGAGATTCAGACACAATAATTACTCTGCTAACTCAAGCTACTAGACTGTAAACATGTCACTGCACATGAATTATAAAGTGCAAATGCCAGTAGACTGTACACATGACATTGCACATGCCAGTGGACTGTACACATGACAGTGCACATGCCAGTGGACTGTGCACATGACAGTGACCATGCCAGTAGACTGAACACATGACAGTGAACATTCCAGCGGACTATACACATGACAGTGCACATGAATTATAAAGTGTTCATGTCAGTAGACTGTTCACATAACAGTGCAAATGCCAATGGACTGTACACATGACAGTACACATGGATTATAAAGTGCACATACCAGTAGACTGTACACATGATAGTGCACATGCCAGTGGACTGTACACACTGCAGTGCACATGAATTATAAAGTGAACATGTCATTAGACTGTACAGATGACAGTATACATGAATTATAAATTACACACATCAGTGCACATGAATTATAAAGTGCACATGCCAGTGGACTGTACACATGACAATGTACATGAATTATAAAGTGCACATGTTACTAGACTACACATGACTGTGCACATGAATTATAACATGCACATGCCATACAACAGTACATATGATAGTAGACAAGAATTATAAAGTGCACAAGCCAGTATACTGTACACATGACAGTAAACAGTGCAGATAAGAGTATAGTGTACACATAACAGTTGGCAGTGCAGTGACAGTAGATAGTACAGAGTGTAGATGACGATAGACAGTGCACAAGATGACAGACAGTGCAGTGACAGTAGTCAGTACACAGTGCAGATGACTTTTAAAATGCACATGATGGTAGACAAAGCACATGCAAGTAGACATAACACACCACATCTATAGTGCAGATGACAGTAGATAGTGCACATGACACTGCACAGTTGCATGACAGTGCACATGTCAGTAGACAGTTCACACGACCATATTAACTCATTATTTTGTCTGTCTCAAGGTGCATCTGCTGAACAATGTGGAAGTGAATCAGGTAAACTAGCTTCATTCTGTTAGTATTTTTTCATTGGTAAGGTTTTAATGATTGACTCAATCACACTGTAAAACTCTTCATATGTGATCCAGTAATCACACTGTGAAACTATCCGTTGATCATCTAATAATCATGTGCAAAACTATTTCTTGGTCATCCAATAATCACACTGTGAAACTATTGGTCATCTAATCATCACATGTGAAACTATCCACTGGTCATCCAGTAATCACATGTAAAACTCTACCGGTCATCCAATAATCAGTGTGAAACTAGACATTGGTCATCACTTAATCATATGAGAAGCTATCAATTTGCCATATAATAACTGCCTGGGAAAAATATCCATTAGTTTTCAATAATACCATGTATCTGAGTCTTTCAGGCGAATACCTGCAGGATTTACTCCTCGGCCATACAGGAATAGCCTCGTCTGAGATGAACTCCTTTTATGTCACTTATATCAGTGCGCAGAGATTGCTTCATATCTGTTGTTACCTTTGTGCACACCTTGACCTGTGCAACTTTGTATCTTATGGCGACTGGCAATGAACTGAGGATATATCACATGACCAGGCATGAACTGTCTTTTGTGTAATCGAGTACAAGTCTCATAACCTCCATTTGTACCAGGTCCAGTCTTTCTTGCTGAGTTTTGCCGATAGTGAGGGAGGGCAGGATAGTAAGTAGTCTGTGACACTTAACACAAGGCCCTAGTAGAGAAAGAAAAGTAGGCGTTGTTCAATGTTGGCTGATGCCATTACCCTTAGTGCTGGCTTTGAGTATGACCTTGTCTACTTTGGGGCTATTCTACTAAGTTTACTCCAGGGTCAAATGTTGAAGATAGGGCCCGAGCCATCCATTAAAAAAATCACCTTTTTGGCAATGATGCGCAGGCCATTTGCTAGGCCTCTGCATGCTGCGTTCGACCCACAGGCCTCCAGTTAAATAGCACTTGTCTACGTGATACTTGTATGACAAGCATCTGTCGAAGTTCCTGCCAAGGTATTTCATCGTATTTATTCTGTCATTGTCTGCACACATGCTTACGACTGGCATATGCATACTGACAATGTGGGTGCTCAAGGGGAACTATGTTAAGAAAATCTTTGCTGGGTTCACCTGTGCTCTTGACTCCTGACACCTCTCACTGAGTCTGTCTCGTTCATGCTGTAGGCATGTTGTAATTTCATGCCTGTTTCTTCTTCCTTGGTACATAAGAATATAATCTGCATACAACATTGTTCTGCCAAGCCTACTTTCTGTGCATTGGTAACTCCTGCTATATACACATTGAAGACAACCAGCAACAATCGTGGTCAGTGAGGCAGCCCCATTTAGACATGCCAAGGTTTCATTGGTCATAAGCTGCATCGCAGTGATAATGTTCTTTCAAAGAGGGCTGCCGCAGTCCAGTTGACCTATTTGGTATCTATGTGCCTGTCCAGCAGCAGTCTGATGAGCATGTTGTGTGGGATGCCACTGTAGGTATCTTCTGAGGCAGTAGCCACCGCAGCGGTTTCAATTCCAGCCTGGACATTCTCATGCTTGTCATACAGAAATACTGCTGCATTGCTGCACCTATCTCTCCCTGGAGGATAACCACCTGGTGTAGCAGCTAATAGACTATTGACTCAAATTTTTTTGTAATCCCTGTTCTGGCCACAATATTTTCCATGAGTTTTCCATTTATTCTGCTGTGATCTTCACCAAGTGTCTTAAAGTAGCAGTATTTTTCCAATCTTATCTTTTTTTCTAAGTTAAATTTTCAACATAAATGATTTCTGGAATATTTGTATTGCTTAGCAAACTATGACGAGTTGAATACTTTTGAGTTTCATTAATCAACCAATCTGTGGTGAAGTTGAAAATGGAACATTATCCTTCCCAACCCTTAACTCAGTAGCGCATTTGTGAGCAGATCATCAAGGAGATAGGTCAATATCAGAAGGGTCTAAAAAAATGAATGTGTTGGACTGAAATGTGAAGCACCTTTTATCTCATGCTTAGCAGTGTTCTTGGGACATGACCACCTCAAATCCAGTGGCTGAAGAATGAAACTATCTGAAACTGAACAGATGACCATACTGCAAACTATGAAACATCTTGCAGCCTATAGTTTTCAATCTCCCGAGTCATCTCCAATGACCCATCAACCTTCATTATTAAACTGCATTTCGCAAATCGCTAGCTAAATGAGCTACTTATTGAAGGTCATAATGGAGGCAGGCACTTTGACCATTTCCCCACGGAGACCCCGCTATTTTTATATTAAAATTTTAACATTATGTATGTGTAAGAAAAGTAGGGGGGGGGGGGGATTTCCTTGCAAAAACTATAGAATGAATAACAAACAGTATGCTGACTTTTACTTTGCAGATAAAAAATTGAGTGAATTGTTTGTTCGTGCACGGACACTGGATGAAATTGAGAAATGTGAACGTCTCCGCAGATTGGCTGATGCAAGAATGGAGGACAGAAATCGACTGCATAAACGCAGAGAAGAGAGAATAAATGTAGGTTTAACTTTTATTTTTGATTTCTAAAGAGAAAACTAAGGTTGTCCTGACCCCAAAAACAGCTCAGGGGGTGTGGTTGTTTCTGTGTGTCTCTTGATGCTTTTCTTAGAAGGATGCGAGGATCAGTTTCATTGCACCGCAGTTTCTGTCCTTAACTCATTTTACACTTAGGGAGACAGCTGACGAGGAGATCGGAGCGCCAATGTATCTGTCCTGAGTGGTGTGATGGTAAACCTCACTAATCACATTTAACAAAGGGAATAATAAGAATAGTGAATGGACACGGCAGATAATAGGAGTGGTACTGTAATTTCAAACTTCACTAATCCCATTATTTAAAAAATAATTATTATATACACTTACCAGGCTTTGTGACATTATGTACTGAAATGTTTTCACAGATGGTTAAATGGGCTGACTGGAATTTTTTTTAATTAAACCATTTTCTTCTCACATAGCTGCTGATGACATCTTACATTTTATTAACACTTTGCTGTAGTAGAGAGTTCGCAGTGAAAGAATTAATGAACAGAAAAAAAAAAAAAAGGAAGAAAGTAGAGACAGAAAGTAAAGAAATAAAGAATGAAAGTAGAAATAAAATTATAACAGAAAATAAAGATGAAAAAAATGGAAAAAGAAGGACTTGAGAAGAGGAAAAAAGTAAAGAAACAAAGGCTGAAAGATATCTAGTGTATTATACTTGTCTAATGCCAAAATTATGTTGTTTGTTTGTCTTTCTGATTTAGAAAGAGCAGATTTCCAGGGATAAGCTGATCAAACCTGTCACCTTTGAAGACATTGCCAGGGAGAGGGCCATGATGAAGAGACAAATCGGAGAAGCATACACCATTGCAGAGATGATCCAGGACATTGATGAGTTTGAGAAGAGGAAATATGAAGAAGAGCAAAGGAAAGACAGAACTGAGATTGCTGTCTCTGACAAGGAGAAAGATACATGTAAGTACTTTCAGAGAAAATGTGTTGATAGTTCCAGTGAATACTCATTATTTTCTTGAGTTCCCCCTTCTCTTTATCTTTTATCTCTTTGTCTTCCACCTTCTTCATTATCTTCATATGATTTTTTTTTCCAAGTGAATATTAATTATTTTCAGGAGCTCCCCATTCATGTGATCCTTTATCTCTTTGTCATTCTACTTCATCTGGCGTACCAGCAGTAAAAGCCCTGTTTGTATCAGAAATGAGTGAAAGTACAGAAGGCTGTGGAGAGATGTGACTAACCAGTGATGCATGACATTTACTACAAGAAGAAGATAATCGAAATAATATTTCACATAGGGTTCTACAACATCTTCTTCATCCATCCATTTATGAAAACAAACAAGAAATTGACCAAATTCAACCTACTGTGAGCAGTATTGACTCTAGTTGTGGTCTGGTTTCTTTGTTCCAAGTATGTTGGCTAAGGAGTGTTAATCAGACCACACACACAAAAAAAAAAACAAGTGACGAACTGGTACTCTAGTACTTGGTGAGGGTTGTTGGGATGGGAGCCTGGTGTGCATGATTATCAACATTCACAGGCTGTTGAACTCTAGTACTGATAGAAGATTGTTGAGTGAATGGGGGCTGTTGTGTAGGAGTATAATATCTCCTGTGCCATTGAACTCTAATGTTGAAGGAAGATTGTTGAGTGAATGGGGGCTGTTGTGTAGGAGTATAATATCTCCTGTGCCATTGAACTCTAATGTTGAAGGAAGATTGTTGAGTGAATGGGGGCTGTTGTGTAGGAGTATAATATCTCCTGTGCCATTGAACTCTAATGTTGAAGGAAGGTTGTTGAGGGGGTGGCGAGGGCAGGGCTGGTGTACACAAGTATCTGAACTCCAGTGCTACTGAACTCTAGTGCTCAGAGAAACTTGTTGAGGAGGAGGGGTGGCGAGGGCAGAGTTGGTGTCCAGAAGTATCAGAACTACCATGCTATTGAACTTTAGTACTTAGAGAAGACTATTGAAAAAAAAGGGGGGGGGGTGGCAAGGGCAGGGCTGGTGTGCGCTTCTACAACAGGAAATAGTGGTCAGGACAAGGGATAGAGAGAATGTCCAAGAAACAAATACATCCCATCGAAGAGCGTTACTGAGAACTAGGATAATTAGTAATGAGTGATTAAACAGGGTTAATGGTCGACTGAATGTGGACTGACTCATATATATGACTTTTTAGTCTGTGAACTGAATAACCAGGTGCCTATCCCTTTTAACAGTAAAAAAGATGCAAAAAGTTCAAGTGTGTGGATATAAAATAAGATTCATAAAGGAAAGACAAATGTAATGAGAATAAATCAGGCAAATGGTAATGTGGTTTCTCTTAATGGTACCCCACTCCAAGAGGTGGAGTCAACGCATGTTGAGAAAACCGGAGAACAGTATAACTAGAATGTATTAGCATTGAACCCACACGGGCATAGAAACAAAGGAAGACGACACCCACACACACACAAAACCATGGAGAAGGGAGCTAGAGAGTGAATTTATAAAGATGGGGAGGACATGGGGAGAGCTGCATGTGATAACTAAGGATAGAACGACTTGGCTGAGTTGGTTTAGGGCCTATGCTCAATTAGGGCTTAGAAAGGCAGAAGGAGAAGAATTTATTTGATTTTGACCTTAGTTAACTGTTGCTTTTACTCCATATATGGACTAAAGGCTACAGTTCCATTGTCCAGCTACTGAGTTGAGTTCATGGTATGACACTGTGAGCTGTATATTTCATTTGGAAGGATTTTTCACTATGCTCAAGGGGACAGCAATAGGCATTCTGGATGGTGTTCTCAGGCACAAGAATGGAGCAGTTATTAGGTGACCTGTTTGCCATGCACTTGGAACTGAAATAACATATTCACTTTACTGATTAACTTAACTCTTTGAGTCCCAAGGAACGTATCATACGTTCATAGGTTAATGCCTAGAAGCCCAATAAACGCATGATTCGCCGATTTTACGTCTCTTTTGACTACCCCTTGGGCCTGTGATGCTAAACCCTCTGGGACTCAAAGAGTTAACTAGTTACATTTCCCTTATATGTTTTTTACATTGTAGCATTTTGTTCTCTTTTCTTAAAACAACAATCATAGCACCGGAAATCTATATCAAAATGATACCAGTCAAGGAGGAAAGAAATTACAATTGCTGATGTTGGAGATGCTATTGAAACAATCCTAGAAGAGTGACAGTGGGAACTAGTAAATCACTGAGCCTGTTTCAAGAAATGTATGGTATATTATTGACTCTTTCCTGAGTGTCATAAACCTCACATCAAGAGTCTTCTGACATTGTATGTTTGGTCAAATTATATTTAAACTTTAAAGTTAGGAAGCCAATATGCAGGGTCAATATTTCCAAGGGTTCATGGAAGGTTTACTTCTATAGAGCATTTTGTTTCGTTTTTTTTTCTTGTTATACATTTTAAATGTCTTCTTCATTACTACTTATAACATCTCATAGTTTTGAAGAGGAAAAACAAATCCTTATGTCTAACAACAACATTAAACTTAGAGAGAAGAAAGAATAACTCTAAGACAAACCTACTTTGTCTTTCACTGTTTCTGTCCCAAGCAACACACCTTGTATGTTCACACATTGTCAGCTTGTATCAAACAGCCTAATGGTATTCTGCTTTATATTTTATGTTTGATCCAAACATACTAAAAATTCTGGACTGAAAGTGCAAAGAGAAAAAAGAAATCTGGCAACCTCACTGATAAATGTCATTATTTTAATTAAAAAATTTTTTTTTGGCATTCTAGGAAGTAAATGCAGCCAGCATGATATTAACCACAACACAGACTGAGAGCCAGTGGGTCCATAAAGATATGAATCCTTCATATGTCTGATGTGTCACTGACATAAAAATGGGTCATTTACATACTTATTTTAACATGCAGCTTTTAACATGCATTAGTTTGATTTTCTTGGAATTTTCAAAGAAAACAATGATCTCAGACATCCTCGGATTCATAGAATGAATTGAGAATTTCAATGGAAAATGTGAATTCAAAGAGAGGTAGCCGAAAATGTGTGTCACAAGTAAAGTAGTTTGAGACTTTACCAAGGTGCAGTAAATTGCTCATGCTCAGCTTTGTGGTCTCAGAATGTATCATAGTAGGCCTAGGCAAGGGGAAGAGAGCCACAACAATATTTCAAATGTATGGCATTACAGTCACCAGTTATTCACACCTTACACACACACACACACACAAATGAATTGCCAGATGTCTTCAGTATCTTGTGACCTAACTTAAGATACAGATCAAAACAAGCAAACTTGCTGCAGTTAAGCTGAGCTTGATAAAGATTTAGAGATGTCATCATCAGCAAACTGTAAGCAGCATTAAGATGGATTCTTTTTACATAAATTATTGTTTTTTAAGAGAGATGGACGAGTAAAAGCACGAAGTTGGCTTTTGGTCAGTTGGGACCAGAGCTCGAGGAAGACCGTTATGATGTAGTGTGCTAGACGTTGTATGAATGATTATTGTGGATGCGAGCAGCAATAGCTATGATTGAATAAACCGTGGTTGAATAGAGTGTGGGAATCGGGATGAATAAACTAGCATAATATAAATTGGAACCTGGGCACAGTTCTGCGTTGTTAATAGTAGATAGTTGGGTTTATTCCCAAGTTGGTAGCCGTGCACGTGTGTGACAAGGTCACCTGAACCAACAATACTAGCTAGAATGTAAAAACCCTTAGATTGAAAACCCAGATAGAATCTAGCAATATTGATAGCAGCTGGCATTATTGCAATTATGAAAATAAATGTTGATATTGTCAATCCAATGTATTATTTAATGTTTATACAAAATTTACTACTGCTTTGAAATACATGGTTTTGCTTATTGTGGGATGATGTCCACAGGGTATAGGGCTATAAAGTTTATGAATAGTGTTTGTTTTCACTTTTTGTCCCTCAGTGGATACACAGTATATGGGATCTTTCTTCCATATTATCCACCAGTGGATACAGGGGTTGGGTCTTTATTTTGTACCTCAATTGATACATGATATGTATGATCCTCTTTTAAAATTATCCATGAGTGAATTTTTCATCTAAATAATCCTTCAGATGATACATGAGTGAGCTCTTTATTTTGCTCATCAATAGATACATGGTGTGTGAGATCTTTTCCCCACATTATCCATCTATGGATACATGGCTCGGATCTTTCTTCCGCATTGTCCATCATTGGATACATGATTTTTAGGACCTTCTTTTACATTATTCATCAATGGATAAGATGCAGGGTCATTCTCAACATTACTCATTAACTCTTTGAGTCCCAAGGGACGCATCATACGTACATAGGTTCCTACCTAGAACCCCATTGAACTTATGATGCGCTGATTTTATGTCTCTCTTAACTACCCCTTGGGCCTGTGATGCTAAACCCCCTGGGACTCAAAGAGTTAATGAATGTGTGGAATATTTTTTCTGGATTATCCATCAGTGAATACCTAATGTGACTGATATTTCTTTCACATCAAACTTGGGAAAGTTAGTTATTTTGTTTTGGTTTTTCTGTATGGCATTTATTTATATCCATCCATGTGTGATTAATTTGTCTTCCATAAAACCTACTCGCAATAAACTACAAGTTACTTCATTACCATTTTGTGGTGCCTTAATATAACTGCTAAATGACAGGTTTTCAGAAATTTGTACCTTTTTGACTCTTATCCTTGAGATCTTGAGAGGGAAAACTTAAACAACACTGCAAACAACACTGTGTTTGGATATTTCTTCCACCTATTATAATGGGATCAGGAAGTGGAGTATGTTCATTTATCATACTTTGTGCTATATATTTCCATGCATTCTATAACATTACTGAACATTCATCAATACACTTTTTTCAAAATGATGCATGTTGTTTTTTCTTCTAAATTAATTTAAGCAATAAAAGGTGTTTTGCCAAAATCTCGACTCATGAATGTTGGTTTTGCTCATAAAGCTGTCTAATTTGTAAATATTTTGTATAATTTATTAGGACCTGAAATAATAGTTACTACAACACCTAGACATTTTGAAAACCTGCAGGAAAACATGTCTGACAGGCTGGTGGAGGTAGGTTGTTAGCCTGGTAATAATTTTGATGTGGCTGCACTTGGCAGACTCAGACTGGCAGGTTTGCAGATTGGAACTCTCTGGAAATGCCCAGCGAGTCACGATTGTTTATAAAGGTTATAAAAGACACAGGACTTAGGGAAACGTTCTCTTGGGTCTGCGGCAGTGAGACTAGAAACACGCAGTCCTGACTTTTTACTGCAAGACTGTACAGGATTCTAGCACAATGAAGGTTCAGGGTGACTTTGTAGAGATGAACTGGCTCAATTGCCAACTATCTGACACTGTGATTCTCTCTGCCATTACCTTTCGGATCATACATCTGGATCAGGCTCACATATTGAACCTTGTACCTGTACACAATTGAAACTTGCAGTCAGTAGACATTCATTTCTGCTCTTGAACAAATACACGTGGTCAGACGTTCTGCATTCTTCTCAGCTGTTCTTTCGCATTCGACCGCACACATCCAGGTCAAAACTTTAACTGACTTCCTACCTCCTCAGACCTTGTCCCCACAATCAGGAACTCTCTGAGATTTCTCCGGGAATTCACAATATTGCAGGTTTCAGGTTTTGGCGGTACGTTCAATATATTGTTTTAGATCTAGATTTCTATGTGCATCCTTGCTCAGAGATTCTGATAGAAGGCTGTCTTAACTGAAAGCAAATTCTCATTTGTGTTAGCTAGAGTGATTAGCACATGTTCTGTTTGAACATTTTGTTGACAGGAAATGAATGGTTACCTGCAAAGCACGCTATTTTGTATTAACAAAAATAAACAGATGTTGAATATGATTATTATATTCCATTTGTTTGATTAAGAATAGGACTTGTAGCTCGTGCACATGGTCTGGCAAGGTGCTGCCTATGTGGTTTTATGTTGTCATTATTGTTTTTTAACTCACTCTTCACATATTCATCACCTGGCTATGAGTAATATTTCATTGTCCCTGCACCAGAAGAGCCCTTGTCTTTCCTTACGTATCCTATTTTTTGCAGTTCAGCGGGGAACTACTTATTGTCTTAACCACATTTCTTTACTTGTCTCCCTTCTTGTTTTATTCCTGTTTGCTTCCTGCTAGCTCATGTGGAAAGAAAAATAATTATACAGACTATAAAGAAAGTTGAGAGAGACACTTTAAGTAGATCAAATAGTAAGAATACACTAGACCAGTGGCTTTCAGCTATTTTGGCTTATCAAGCCCTTTTTACAATCAATTTCTTTGGTGGAACCCTTTAGTTTTTTCCTACTCTTTAATTTTATCAATTTGTGTAAATTGTATTTACCTGCAGTGGCTGTAGAGCCCCTGTTAAGTAAACGCCGAGCACTTAGAGAGCACTGGCTGGGAACTGCTACACTATACAAAATATAAAACCTAGAGAGAACAAATTAGGAAAACAAAATAGAACATGGAAAAACAACACATTTGGCAGTCTTTATAGGTGGGAGTTCTTTTTCTTCTTCTTTCTTACGCTTGAAATAAATTATCTATATCTGCAATGTTATCTCTAGTATGAACTTCACTGTCTTTTGTAATTCACTCAGCGACCCCTAAAGTTTGACTTGCACCGGTGTTACTCTTGGCCAAAAGTTCTGCCTTGATATGTTGTATTTGGGACAGTCTTGAAAGACATGATCCATTGTCTCAGGTGCCAATCCACATGTGCATATGACTGATTCACCGATTTTAAATTTTGTGTACATGTGGCAGCGAAGTTGACTGTGTCCTTTTCTCAGGCGTAGAATAATAACTTACTCTGGGCTGTCCATAAAATGGTAATCGTCTTGTGTCGGTTTTGGTGGCTTTCTGATTGATTTGATTATTCTCTTCTTTTGCTAATAAGAGACTTGCACCTTCCTAAGCTAGTTTATCAGCTCTTTCATTTCCGGAAACTCCACGGTGAGATGGTATCCATTGCATATTTACCTTACATCGACTGCCTAGTTTGGAGACTGGTGTTTGTGTACCAGGTAGTTTTCTAGACTGGAGTGCCTGAAGCACCGCTCTTGAATCTGGGAGTATAATGCGGTGGTTTCCACTTTAATTACACATAAGTGTGGATTG